GCTGCTGTTCAGGACCCATTATAATCCATCAATTGCTTTCTCACAGTGGCTAATCAGATGAAGCACAAAAAAAAAAACCCCTTCCAAAAAGACTTCAATTCATTTTCCTATTGTGGAGAGATGCAGAGGGAGTAGCTCTTTAAGGGAAGGGTTCTGCTCCACAGCAATGCAGAACAATACTCACCTGTCTTCTTCAGTTCATGTTCTGCATAACAAAATGTTTCTTCTAAATGACTGCCAAGATAAGAAAAACTTCTTGGGGGGCACTGGGGTGGGGAGGGAGGGATAATAAAGGATTCTATTAATTTGGCTCCCAAGTCTAGTTTAGTTTCAAGCTTACCTTCAAGCTTATCCACAAACAGAGCCATTGGGAAAAAAGAGAGAGGTATAAACACCTTCTGTAAAATCCCAAAACTAAGTACAGGTAGTCTTTGACTCACAACAGTTCATTTAATGACCGTTCAAAGCTACAATGGCACTGAAAAAAGTGACTTACAATCACTTTTCACACTTATGACCATTGTAGCATCCCCATGGTCACGTGATTTACATTCAGATGCTTGACAACTGACTCACATTTATAATGGTTGCAGTGTCCCAGAGTCATGTGATCTCCTTTTGAGACCTTCTGAGAAGCAAAGTCAGTGGGGAAGCCAGATTCACTTAACAAATGTGTTACTAATTTAACAACTGCAGTGATTCACATAACGAATGTGGCAAGAAAAGTAAAATGGGGCAAAACTCATTTAACAAATTTTGGGGTCAACTGTGGTTGTAAGCCCAGGGATGGGAGGAAAGAAGCGGGGGGGGGCATGAGAAAAATTACTGTGGTCCAATAGCTATACCATAGTATTCTTGTCTGGCAAGGAGCTTAATGGAGCATTTATTGGAAGACGACATGCTGGACGAAACCCTGTACATAAACACTCATATTACAGGGCAAATGTGTAGCATTTTTACATGTTATAAAATATTAATTATTTTCCTGTACAAGTCCAAATAACAGCAAGCCCTCTAAAGCAGCTATCTAAATTGTACCAACAGAGAAACTTTTGCTAGACTCAATACTGAGATGAGCTACCTTCACAATGTCTAACAATAGCAACATATCCCCAAGAGTCAACATAATCTGGAGACTAAAATCTCCACTTCTAAGAACACTTAAAAATGATACATAATTGAACTGCACTGTTAGTTCAGTTCTGTTTCTCTTAAACACTATAATAATAATATTTATTTTTATTTATATACACACACAGTTCTGAACCTCAAAAATAAAAAAAATTACCTGATGGAAATGAGTTTACTTTGCATAAAGAAATTAGATGAGACATCAGAAGCAAGTCGGACTGGCTTCTAACATGCAATTTAATTTTCTGTATTCGTGAACTTTAAGTTTACGCTTTTAGCTGTTCAAACTTTCAATGAATACAGGCACTATGATTCCTTTTATGTCATATAAGGATTCAAAAGGTCACCAGCCCAAGGAAGCTCACTGATGTAGTGCCTATCCTTTGTATATTTTTCTCATTTTTGCAGAATGTTCTTTCCATATAATACATGTTAAAGATAGGCTTAATGCTATTTAGTTGAACATGGAGAATCTTTTAAGTTGTTCTGTTACTGATTCTACCTTATCGGGAGGGAGGGAGGGAGAAGCTTACCTAATAATTTGAGAAGAAAAAAACAAGTTTAACAGACAGTGGCTAAATGTAATTATGGGAGGGGTCGTTCAATCATGTTAAATTCTCAAAGACTGCCTAGAAAAGTTCCTGCAGTTTTCTTGGCAAACTTTTTCAGAAGTGGTCTGCCATTGCCTCATTCCTAGGGCTGAGAGAAAGTGACTGTCCAAGGTCACCCAGCTGATTTCATGCCAAAGGCAGGAGTAGAACAGTCTCCTGCTTTCCAGCCTGATGCTTTAACCAACACACTGAAATATATTACTTATGCTTAGTCTATTTCATAAATATAAATAATGTTTAGCCAACTTCAAACTGTAATATACAGTCTTTCCCACTGAACAATTAAATAAACTATACCTTAGGATTTATACAATGAAATTAACTATGATTAACTTAAGATTACATGTAATTTTCACTTGCCTGATGATCACACACAATCAAAAATTTGAACATATGAGACTGCAACTTACTGGGATTTTTCAGAAAATTAACCTAAGAATTTGAACTAGCTCAATCAAAAACCACATTTTGATTAACCATTCTAGTGAACTCATATTATACTTTAAGTTACACGATGTACATTTTCCCCCTTGACTACCTTTTATCTGTTCAAAATTTAGAATCATACATTTATTTGATTTATGAAAGCAGCAGCATCTTTAGGCAAAATTAAGGATCTAAATTTTGGGTTTTGACAAAGAGGAAAGGCATAAGAGGTCCTATCATTCGTAGCCTTGAAACTCAAAATGACTAACAGGAAGAGGAGGGATAAAACAATCAGAATGAAACACAATAATCTGTCTTATCTATCTTCTGTTAAAGATACTAGGACCACATCCAATATGAAATCCTGCTTAGACAGTTGGAAAGAAATGCCAACATTATGTCATGCAGATTATGGTCAGATGAATACATCTGAAAGCATCAGCGCATATGTGGTATGTGATAACTAAAGCTGCAATACAAATCAGAGAACGCAGAACAAGAATACATAAAGAGAATAAGAGATTCAACATTGCCCTGAAAAATGCTGACTGACCATGGGAAAGTTTGAGAAATAGAGCAGTTTCATGAAGTCTAGAACATTATGTGAGCTTTGGGATTTAGACATAACAGCAAACCACCAATAGCATAAACTGAAACAAGCTTCAAGTTGTCATTTGGAAAGAAACTTCAAGTTGTTGTTTCAACTTGATTACTCAAACTCAAATGCATTGTGCAGGTCTCCTTTTTATTATAGTTTAATATAATATACTACAGTTTTATGTTACTTTTTTACTAGTCTTTAGTATTAGTTTAATACTGAATAGAATACAGATCTCATGAATCTGGGGAGCATAAAAAGGAATAAGAATATCCCCATGGGCTTTGTAGATGATCATAGCGAGCTATCAGAATACATTACTATATCCTAATGCCTGAAATGAGTTCATACTGAAAAACTGAGCTACTACTGTAAAACTATTTTGGAACTATACTATTTCCTATTTTAGCTATCTGAACTCTTAAGAGATCTCTTATGATAAATATTTCGGCTTACAGGTAGTCCTTGACTTACAACCATTCGTTTAGTCAACATTCAATGTTGCAATGGCACTGAAAAAATGACTTATGATCTTTTTTCAGACTTACAACCACTGCAGCATCCTCACAATCACATGATCAAAATTCAGACACTTGTCAACTAGCATGTATTTATGATGGCTGAAGTGTCCCGCAATCATGTGATCATTTTTATGAACTTCTGACAAGCAAAGTCAATGGAGAAGCCAGATTCACTTAACAACTGTGTTACTAACTTAACAACTGCAGCAATTCATTTAATAACTACAGCAATAAAGGTCATAAGATGGGCCAAAACTCACTTAACAACTGTCTTACTTAGCAACAGAAATTTTGGGCTCAATTGTGGTCATAAATCAGGGACTGCCTGTATTCAAAGTAGTAATTTAAGGAAGTTAGATTAAATTTTTTAAACTGATTATATTTTTTAAAATGTGCAAAGAAAAGAATACAGTTCACTGGAGATAAGTGGTCAAAAAAATAAAGTAAATAAATAATATTTTTATTACTTCACTGATCAGAATAGTATAGTTTTGTAACAGAATTTATAGAATTAAAATAGAAAATAATAATTTATAGAATTAAAATAGAAAATAATAAAATGTAATAATAAAATATGAGTACTAAAGAGCTAAAATATTAAACTTGCAAAGGCATTAAAACATAGTATTAAAAAGAATATTTTTAAAAATATGAAAGTATTGAAGCATGCAGTTGTTGATTTGAATTCTATATTTCAAAAAACATTAACCACATTATTACTACTTGCCTAAAGCAGGCTAGGAATATTTACTATTTATTATATTTTTACACAGTTTCACTACCAAAGCTGTTGTTTTATTTTGTGAAAATGAGAAGTTTTAATAATATTTGAATGATATGTGCTTAAATCTACTGAAATTGGATTTTAAAAGTCATTAACTTTGTTCATATATATAACTTTGAATCTAATCTCGCAACAACCTCACTGCAGTTCTGGACAAAACTTTGTCAAACCTAATAAAGATAATTAATATTAAAAGAAAATATTTACGTATTCCTTCTTATGCCTATTTTTGCATAAATAATTGGCTAAGCAAAGTTATGTATTAAAAATAAACATCTGGGAAAAGTTCATGTAAACATAATACCACTTTAATTAAAATGAATTTTGCATCACTCATTGCTCTATCATGAGTAAATACAAAATCAATTATCCATAAATTCTCTGATTCTGGTGCTCAAGTGTCACCACGAGATAGACCACTGTGAAAGATGATAGCAGTATAATCTATATACACCACTGTCACTGAAAAAGGAAACAGCAGCTCTGTAGCAATCTGCTGATCAGCACAACTAATCTTGTTCACTGAGTTCTATGAGACTCATTCCCTGACAAATGAGGATAGGATTGCCACTTAATTTCACACCTTTTCCCATTGTGACAAACCTCCTCTACGAACTACTTTTTATTGTCATTATTTCTTTTCCATTTTGTTTGCATCTCCTGTACTGCATTCTGCCCATTTAGGTTTAAATTATTTTTAGCTATTTTCCAACCAACAGAAATCCAAATTTATCACCTTGTCATTTCAAAAGAGACAAACTTATTTTGGGCAATAAGCAGGACCTTTGGAGAGTTTAGTGATTCTCAGCTATTATGATAATTAGTCAACTACCCCAAAGTCTTTCTGTTCAAAGCTTTGATGAAATGTGAGTTCTCCACACATACTTAACACTTTCCCCATACAGCTGCCTGTGTATTTTCCTACTTACAGAGCAAATGGGCACAGTGAACCCCACTGTGTAGAGGACAGTAGATGTGATGGTACTGTCATGGAACGGGTAGCTGATGCTGTCATCATTACAGAAAAAGCCCCTCTGATACGGCTTTATTTTTGCCAAGTTTAGAACAGCAAGGGGTAAGCCAGCTGTTGGGGGAAAATACATAAAGTTAAATGTAGATAGATGTCATTTTATATTTTTCATCAAGTGCAGAGGAAACTACTGAGCTACATGCAAAAGTCAAGAATTTTCGCCCAGCCAATTTAGCATCATGCAGTGCCCACAGACTCCCCGCACCTCAAAGCATCCTATCAATCATTCATTACTCTGGCCTCCTCTAAAATTTAGGCTCAGAACTTCAAGAGTTCCAGCTTCAACATATCTTGCAGGTGTTTGGTTGGAGAAAATCTGACCTTTAATCACTAGCAATCAGAGCTATTGACAGCTGCAGATTGAATGAATAATGCTTAAACATTGAAAATATGTCATTTACATAAAGGAAGTTTATGTCAATGACATAAACTTACAAATTACATTATTTAGTTAAGTTAATTTAGATCAATAAGATAAAATGGGAGCAATCAGAGTAGAAAAGTCTGAAACCTGGATAAAACAAAAAAGGAGAAAGAAACAGAGGATATTATGGAGAGCATTTTATCTATTTTTATGATGGAAAGATTTTCAAAGCTTGATCTGTTCAACTTTCAGAAAGAAGTAGTACAGTAAGTTTGCTGGACATAGACTGTAGTAAACACCTCACCAATTAATCCAAATATTAGAAAAAAACATTTTAAAACAATATGAAATTGTGTCTATAAATAGGCTTACTTCTTTTCCTTATACAGCAAAGTTGAAGACTCCTAGATTTCCCGCCCTCCCCAACATCTGGCTAAGAAAAATAATTTCTGCAATCTTATAAATGTCTCTGGAATGGAGAAGTACAGAGCATGGAAATATAAGTCACCACCACCTCCATTTCTGGTTTATGAGCACCTGTGCTTAAATTATTAAGATTTATTCCATAGCATCAGCATTTCCTATAATTATCACAATCTTTACATATCATATTTATGTCGTAGTACTTCTGTGATTAGCTAATCTAATCCTACTTGAAACAACCTGGTATACGTATACTTCTTCACTTATTCTCTTGAGGTTTTTATGCAAATATTGGAAGTCATGCTGAAATCATTCAAAAGAGGTACACCTAGCCTACCTGTCACCAAATTTTCCAGGTGTTCAAATGCATCTAATACAATGGGGATATTCACACATTAAGCTAACACAGATTCATCAGCTATACCGGTGCTGAGAGCAGCTTCCAACCCCTTCTTGTCTCAGCTGTTATCCTAGCCACCATTATAATGGCTGGCTGGACATCACCCTCGGGTTTTCTTTACTAAATTTTAAAAACAATACAAACAGAATGGTCCAATTGAGGATGAAGCCATTCTTTGCAGGATAGGAGAGGAGGCAAATACAATCCCTTAATATCTAGCAAAAAATTTCCTTGAGGAAAAAAATATTCTGAATCTGGCTAATTCTGTCATAAATTAATCTTACCAAGCCATCCAGTTTAGAGACACCCTACATTTAAATATGGCAATATTCCTGAACTACCAGCTAAGTCAAAGTTCTTGAATAATACACTTGTTTCTTGCTGCAGCTGCCGCTGTCAGGCAATGAAATTATTCAAAACCATTTTCCCCACTGTCTCCCAACATCAACATTTCCTTTGTGCCATTCAAGCAAGAGCCAGGTTTTAAAATATACAAATATGTATACAAAAAGATTCATTCTCTTATGCATAAAGTACTATTTTAGAAAACAGCAGTTAGAAATGGAATATTCACATTCAGCTAACTGAAGATTACTTAGTCCTAAAAATCATTGTAACTTGAATAGTTTAGTAATATGTACTGGGGGGAAAATTAAGGACAAATTTGAAATAGTTTTAATAAATTAAAAAAAAAAGCCACATGAGGTTCCAGAAATGAAGATCACCTGGCAAAGAAGTATATCTACTGTATGAACATTTCTCTTTGGACAGACTAAAACTTTATGACTACCTATAAAATAAACAAATCTAAAGAGTAACAGAAATGTGGGATGGATTGGAAAATCATTTTTTTCTCAACTCTAGCAAGACCATATTTCTTCTCATCAGTGTAGGCTGAAACTTTCACATTGGCATTATTTGTGTATATAATCAGTCAACAAGTCTGAGACTCAGAATTTACAACAGAGATCAATCACCAGGCAGGTGAAGAAAAAGTTCATTTGAAGAATCAGAAAAGTCTACGGACTGTCTGCATCAGGTAACAATGGTGAGGAAAACCCATGATGCCCAGAGGTGATGGGGATTGCAAACCAATGCATCTGCATAATATCACAGTCACAAATGCTGGACCGGATGGCTCACTCAGTTAAACAAACTTAAGGTAGAACTTCTACATTTATCCTCTGAAAAGATACTAAACCAGAGGATTAGAACTGCTTTCTGACCAAAACTCTACAGAGCCATTGTCTATAGATGGGTAAGTGAAACGTTCCATAACTGGGTGATATTTCCACTTCTACTTTCTAAAAGCAAAGCAAGCAACATTTTGTTGATAGAATTTTGCAGAATTTAGTCATCTAGAAACCTTCCACTAAATCCTCTTCAGTTTTCCTCTAATTTTCCTTATTTCATAAAACCTTTTTTAAAAAATTGTTATTGTGGCACAATTCCTGTGGGGATAGGAAAGGCCAATACTCCACTGAGGCACAGCAGGAAGAGATTCTCTGGGGAACATGGATAATATTCAATAAAAAGATAAAGTTTCATTCTGAGATAAACATGATCTGGTCCATTATGTAACAACTCCTAGTGATCACAGCTTTCAGCTATTTAACCAAAGAGCAAACTGCTTCAATTTATAGATACATTTTGAAGTACAAGGAAGGAAATACAAGGGAGGGGGAAACCCAGAGGAAATTCTCAGATTAAAATGCTGAAGTCCACAGGAAAATGTGTGCCAACATGTTCATATCCAGAGATAGAAAATGTGCTTCCCTTGGCAAAAGGTCAGTTCAAATACACTTTTTCATAATCATGTTTACATTAGGAAAATATTTCATTTCAGAGTAAGATTTTAAACACTGAAACGAATATTATACACTGCAAAAATAGCTGGTTAACCTAAAATGTTCAGATCACCTACAGGTGTTATCAAGACTAAAATGCTACATATTTTAAAACATCCAGGCCAGCGCTCTCAAGGAAACATGGAGTCATTTACAAATGAGGGTACAGATCAACTTGTAAATCAAGCTGCCCCACAAATCGGATGAGACTGTGTCCTCATTATATCAGTTCATAGTTTTCCTAAGTGCTAATGTCAAACCTTTCTCCAAAAAAGAATTTCCCATTTCAAGCAGTGATATAGTCCCAGTAAAATGGTTACTGTTTTACTCTGCTATTATAATGGTGTAGTCTGGGTTGCCACTTGGGGGAGGGTACCTTTGGGTCACTTCATCTCCGATTTACCAGTGTGGCAGCAAAACATCACTACAAAGGAGGGCCCAAACAGAAATAAGCATAAAAAGCTTGGCAGCTGCTCACTATAAATAAAAAATGTTGGTAGTGCAAATTTTTACTGTAGTTACAGAGATGGAGTGGGTGGGGAAGGTGAAATAAAGGGGAAAGGACAAAGCACTTTTCACTGGCCAACGAAGAAATATTAATGGATGAGACATCACTGAGTTCTTCTATTGGTTAGGTTAGGAAACATAAATATTGCTTGGCTGTCCAGTCTCAAGTCAACACTGTTGATTTACTTGTAAACATGTCCTTTCCCTTAGCCCACTGTTTTTCAACCTTAGTAACTTTAAGATGGTATCAGAATTCCCTATCCAGTTGAATTCCACACATCTTAAAAAGGTCAAGGATGAAAAACATTGCCTTAGTCTCTATGCATACCTACTGACTATAATGATGAGTCGCTCCCTGCATTGTTTTGATTATGGAAAACAGACATTTTGGGTGATGGAAAGGCTGGTCCTTGGGAAGTACTCTTGGACTCAACTGACAATATTAGAGTTTAGAAGGAATTGCACATAGCTTATATGAATTTCCAGCAGGGAGAGCAGGTGTTTAATATTGTCAATTAAGCACCAATAAATCAGTCATCTTTCCTGGTTTTTTTTCTATGTGTTGGATTCTAAATTCCATAATCCTCAGAGAACACATCTGCAGCATACCACATTAAATTAGGCTGCACTAAATAATATTTTCATATATAGACTTCAAACATTAGCAGTAGAGTTTGCTTTTCTGTTGTTACTAGAAACAAAAGAGCTTTGCTTTCTGAAATATGTTGATGGCAAACAAAGCAAAAGTCACGCAAAAAAATTGACATTACACCATCAAGATACAGGCAGGAAAAATACAATAAAAAAACCTTTTGTTCAAAGTTTCACAAAGCAGCGTGCAAACTCCTATGTACTCCAAAAACTTTTACCAAGCTAGATAGTTAATGACAGACGAGAGAACAGCCCCCCAAAATCTGTCTGGTGCTGAAACCATGGCATCTGCAGTTAAGCATATTCTTTAAGATAAAAGGAGACAACAGAGATTCAAATCAGATCTCTTGGATTGTAACATAATTAAAGTATATTATTAATTAACCATCATGGTTAAAGTTTCATTCAAATATTTTGCATATTGATATTTGCAATGCTTCCTGAAATACTGCAATGTGCCCAGATTGAAAGGCTTATTCCTTACTAGTCCAATTTATGCAACATCGATTGTTTATATCAGGGGTTCTCAAGCTGCATCTTCCTAAAATAATTACATTTATGTGACCTCATTACATGAATAAAATAAAATAATACTCAAAAATCTAAGCTTAAATACTGGCAATATTTAAAAAGAAAATTGGAAACCCTTTGTAAGTTGTTTACCTCCCTCCAGGAAATCCCTATCCATGATTTGAGAATAATATTTATTTAAAAAAATAATGTTTATGGCATAAACTTTATGGAGCAAATCTCAGCTGGCTGAAGACATAGTACCCACTAAGCTATAAAATAAGTTAATCATGTCATGGTTTAACCAATGCATGCATGCATCTGGCACTGCTGGAAAAATAATCTTTAATTA